CAGTCTCACGCGCGGGCGCTTAACCATTAGACCACTGAGCCGGCATCCAACGGTGTTAATGTCTAACTTCAACCAATCCACGAAGTTGCGCCATCGTACACCATTGTCTTCAGTGAGCTGATATCTCACAACTGACCCGGTTGAAACGGTTGTCCAGTGCTTCCAGGTTTTTCATGGTGGTATAGCTTCAATCGACTCATGATTTCAACCAGTGAAATTTCTAAAATCTCCACAAAATCCCTTCTGATATAATTACAAATTAATTTAAACAAAAATCAATGATATGAATAATTACAGTTAGTTATTGTTTCAGAAAAAAACTTAAACCAATATCTAACTGCACTTTCTTGTTATTTGACCAATAATAAGTAAATAATAGTACTGGGTTCGAGTCCCAGAGTGAATATCAATTCTGAGATGCACGTACATCCAGTCGACGAGTCCCAAATAGAACAAAATGCGCATCCAGGATTCTACTACTATTCACTATCCATTTTTGCTTATAGTGCTTGTGAATTAAGACAATATCTAGGCAATACGCACAGTATGCACATATACCAATAAAAAACTGATCAATTATAGTGCTAAACATCAATGGGAAGATTCAAGTAAATAATACCAAATGAATTTAATATGTGTTTTTATTGAATAAAACACGTGTTCAAATGACAAAAGGTAGAAAGTGTTTAATGAAAACATCATATATATAACTATTTTTCTTTAAAATCACAGACATTGATGTACATACTTTCTGAATGTTTACTTCGATGACATATATGTGAATTTATTTGATGAATAAATAAGAACAAAAAAGATGAATGAAATCCATTCAAAAGTACATTTTTTTGTTTGACTAAATATATTCACATTTATATTATGAAAATATACAATAGTTAAGTTTTGATTGACAAATGTTATATCTTGAAACTTAGAACTATATTGAAATGAAATTTAGTGGAGAAAGTAAAGAAATAATTTACATTGAATGATATTGAGAAAATTCATTACAATATGGATTGTATTTGTAAAATTTTACAAATAATGACATTTGTTTAAATGACACATTTATCAGTAGCTCAATAGATGCAAAGATAATGCTCTGTTATTTATTGAAACACATAAAATTTGGTACGAGGAGTCACCAATATAGATATGCGCCACATCAATTATTCTATTTGTGTCAAGGATGAAATATTGCCTGAGTGCCCGAACCGAAGCACGTGGTCTACTTATGGGGCCCACACCCCGTGCCTTTGATCCAAAGGTCTAATCCACAATAATAATTTCATACGTCATTTGTTTCCCCAGAATCCTAGAGCCCATGTGCAGCATTGGTTTGGAATCACGGTTTTGCAACTCCCCTAGGTGGATCCTCTATATCCACTAATCAGGTTAAAGCGCCAGATATTCAATTTTGTAGACAACGCTACCGTTGCGAGAAGGTGGGGAGTGGGACTTCTTTGGTAGTGGTTGCATGTACGTGGTCATATGTTTTTTTTAGGAAATAAAAGTTTCTTAAATTCTGTTACTAAAACGTCATTTTAATAAATATTCATGTTACCGTTATAATCTCTGTACTTTAATCGATTCATGATATAATCTATTTTAAATCTTTTAGAATAAGGAACTTATGTCACTGTAATCGGATAACATTTATATAGGCTATTTAGTTAGAGAATCTTAGAATCGACTATCCATGAAATTAGTAGTATTACTTGGTAATAAAACTAGAGTTCGTTTTTAAGCAAAGATGGATAGTGGCTAGAAGATGAATCCAGAGCGCGCGTTTCGTCCCATTTGGGACTCATCAGCTGGATGTACCTGCTTAGAAATGCTTGTGACTTAAGACTATATCGAGGCAATCCGCACATATGACAACATGTGACTGATCAATTGCAGTCCTAAATAACAATCAGAAGATACAAGCAAAACAACACCTAGTGAACCTAGAGTTCCTTTGATCATTGATTCATACGTTATAATTAAATACACTCAACCACATTCGAATTTTAATATTGATATAATAATCACCTAGTGGTAACGAATGGGAAATTGTCTAATCCATGTTGCTGACAAAATTCTATTGATTAAATTGGAAAATATTCGCTTGACTTAATGATTTTATATCATTACTTTGCTGATAGGTATCAGTTAGTATGAAACCTAGGCTGAAAACTCGCTGTGGATTACATCATTTATCGAGCGTCTTGATAGACAAAAAAAAAGTCAACTGATTTCCATTAAAATAAAATGAACATAGATAAGTTTTAACAGTAAGAGTTTAACATATTAACAACTTAAATTACAGAAAATATATTAAATGAAAGAAGCGTTCAGTGTTTATGTATTCCTCTACTTATATTTTAAAAAAATCAACCTGAATTGTGTTTTGTGGATTCATAGAGATTCTATATAAAAAATTTGTAGGTTTATAATAGATGCATCGTTATTACATTTCTTTAGGTGGTACAGTCAATCAACAAGTCACCGAAATGATAAAACGAAATAACTCATTTTCTATTTATTATATTGTATGATATCATGTATGTGATGTTACACGGACAACAAATGGTATGGCATCTACTACAGTTGGTTAACTAATTATTTTATTTGTAACTACAGTTTTCACTTGGAAAACTCAACGATATGCATTACCTATATCCAGCCGATATAATGAAAGCAAAGTGCTAAACTTGCAGCATAAACACATGAGAATAACAGCATTCTATGAATCCCTGGATTTTTTACCTGAGTTGTAGAAAGCAACGTTAACTGCCTGGTCGGTGTATGGGAAATAGTTTACAAAATGACTGGTAAATCTAGGCAATAAAGTTTTAGACATAATAATTAAAGGTCATAGAGGTGTACAAAAATAAACTGATATGATGAGCGTTCATGAATAAAACAATGAGAATATAAGACATAAGTAAAGGAGGAATGCAGTAATGATAATAATAACATTAATAGTAGGATAATCAAACTAATTAAGGCCAAGGTAACGATAACGATAAGACGTACTTCTTTTGTACACATAGTTCTGGTTTAAGCTCCTGGATGGCAAGAGCTTCGGCTATTTTTAAAAGTTGGATACGAAGAAATCTGGGTAGATTTGAACGAATCATATAAACAACCTTAAAGTCAATTTGTGGATCTGTTGAATGGTTATAGTCGATTAGGTGTTCAAGTATAGAACTCCTAACTGCTTTCCTTTCACCCTTATAGAACCAGGCTGGGATATGTTCTCGTATCCGAGTTGAAAGTTTTAGTTTAATAACTAGCACTGATAAATCTATGCTCATCAAATTTTAAGTGCCAAGTATTTTGAGATCCTGTGACTTTCACTCTTTCTTCCTTAATTTCTTCTAGCTTTTTATTCTGTCTCTGCTGGTATAATTATTTTCATTGTGATTTTTATATTCATGTATTTACTCCTCCAAGCTAATCTGAAATATTAAATTTTTTTGAAACGAAGCACAATTAACTGAATCGCAATTTGTTTAATTTAACGTTTGTAGACGCCAGTATAATCTTCAGAAAAAGTGGTTTTCCCCAGAATGACAACATTTAGGTCCTTCAAAGAGATAATAAAGAAAGATATAATTGTATATTGGTAAGGTAATCGTCATAACATTCTGTAGTGAAGATGGCGTCATAATATCTAGTCAACTTCAGGAAATGTCAGTCCGTCAATACAGAACTAAGGGTGACGAATAAAGCGTTCTTTGGAAGAAACACGAAGGACTGAGCTGACGAAAGTCAGTTCTTAAAAAGTAAAAAAGAATTTGACCTTAAAGGTAAAAGATTACTATAAATTTACTTTCCACATACACAATTTATGCACAACACTTATATAGTACGTTTTGATTAAAACAAATCGTGTTTACTAACATCTCAATGTCAATTTAATCGATTAGATTAGTTGAGTAACTTCCTGGTAATTTCAACATAAAAACAGGTATTTCCGTGAAGATACATCTAAATTTTCCTTAATGTTATATGAATTTAGTGTGATACACTTTAGAGGAAATATTTGTAATGACTTGTAAACTATGCGGTTCAGTACTATTTTTTCCCAATAGAAATTGGGACAACTTGGTGTTCTTTTAAAAAAAACCCATCAAATTATGAGTACTGTTTTCAAATGTAGTTGCATCTGTCTACCAAAGTAACAGATATTATAGTTAAATATTTTTTGTTAAAATTATGAACCGATCCAAGTTCAACAATCATTAAAAACCTAGAAACCCTGGACATCATTTTTCTTGTAGTATGAGACTCTTCATCAATACAAATCCATAATCCTGTAACTTGTAGTCAACACCATGACTTTTAGTTTTGAAAGCAAAGCATTACCTTTAAGATCATTAAACTGGAACTAAATAGTACACAACTTTAACTTCAATCACTTCAGTAATATCTCTTTAATTTAACAAAATGTTTGGTTTATAATCAATACAACAAACATCTTTTTTCATATCAAATAGAATATTACATTATCCATTAGCTTAATTCATTTCATTAAGTGTAAACAGTTTGAATTATATGATAAATACTGTGAGAAATTTTAGCACTCATATTAATATTGGAAGAGTTCATTCATGAATCTCTTATATACTAAACAAGTTTAAGTATTACTTTTTTTATAATTCGATAAATAAAATATATTCATTCAGATTACAAGAATATACTCGAATTATTATCGATATTATTTTATTTTCATGTGTAAGTTTGGTATTATTAAATTGTGTTTTATGCATTGTACACTTTATTTTTTTTATCTTACTTAGTTTTTCAATCGATAATTTCTGGTTAGCGTTTTTTTAGCTAGTTGGTTTTCTACGGTATGAGGTCGCTAACCTCGTATCCAACCCTCCTTCTTTATTCGGGCTTTGGATCGACAGTATATCCAGAGGGGCTACAGGCGGAGTTAGAATTGCTATACTCAAGGCACTTACCAAGGCAACCAAGAAAATCAATTTAGTGTCTACACCTTCTTTGATTTAAAACAAGTTAACAGTATGATTAAATAACTTATGAGCATAATAATTGTCAGTATTGTCATGATAGTAGACAACAATAGACAGGTCAAAAGATCGACCAGCTAATTCAGGAGCGGGTTTGAATCTGTAATAAAGGGAAGTCTCTTGACCGGGCTCTAATGTCTCGTGGAGGCGTTGCTTGGTAAAGTTCCGAATGTGATAGCCATAGTACATAGGAGAGTGAAGTGCTCCTTCTATAAAATCTAGTTTAAATTGTTCACCGTTTGTCGGGTTGGTATTAGCCAAGGAAGCCACAAGGGATGAGATTTTTCCGACAGGCAAGTTTATTTCACGACGTTCAGAGTAAAGACCATATGGTGGTTTACTAAGGGCTACCAATATACCAACAGCTGGGGATCTTTTGAATCCATCGTCTTCATTTGTTACAGAAGGTAAGAGCGTGGAGTCTTCTTCAGACAAAATAGTTGCGTCTTCAGCAAAAGAATTAAGTATATAGTTGCTACATAGAAGTAAGATCCATGAATAATACGCAAAGTTACAAGACAATATGATTAAACGAATGCATCGAAGTATAAGAATATTCATTCTTTGATTATATTATATTATGAATTTGAAACCTTATTCTCTTTATTATTACTAGTTTATTTTCTCATTGTTAATACCTTTGAAAATAGGTAAACATTCAATTTAAAGGTTATCTATTCCTTCCACACTTGAGTCAGTGTTAATGCGTAATAAAACAATAAAGTGTAAAATGTTCAAATATGTACTATAACCTGAGACAATGGGCGTTCGTGATGTTGTAAATATGTGTTGATAAAGATCATTACGGAATAAATTTGTTAATAAGATAGGAAGGACTTTGTTTAGAATGAGTAAAATACCATATCTTTCAATGACAATAAAGTTGATCATTCATATTTTAATGAATACCGACTTATTTAATTGTTGTCAGTGACTCAGCAATATCCCCAATCAAATATCTTTAGTGATAGCTTTATATATCAAAACAATCTATACTGGTTTCTATAATATCCTCATATTTTAGTTTCATACATCATCAGTTTTTTTCTCTTTTTAAAAAAAATAAATTTTGTCTACTCATTTAAATCTATAAATCCTTTTTAAACGATACCAGTTTTCCTATAAAAAAAGCGAAAATGATCTATGCCAATCTGGTCAACAATTATATTCATCATGAGTTCATCATGGCCACAAACTGGTTAAAAGTACATTACAGAGGAAACTTCTTTGCTCTGTGTTTATGGAACTGTGGTCTTTCCAAGCTGAAAATACGTTTGTTAAACCATCAGTTTCAGAAGAATTTCCGGTATTCAGTTTCAGAACGTATATTAGAAATGGTTGGGTTGATATATTACAGAAGTCAATTAAATATATATTATTATGTTGAACCAACATCATCAGTGATTTGATGATATTTCGTTTATGTTGCTTAAACTACTTATGAAAAAATTGTTACCAACGCTATAACTAGGTGTGACAGTTAAAAATGTTTTACGATATTAACGATATTAAACCGTAAAATGAATGACAGTTTCATTGATTTAGGTTCTCTTATCATACCAAGATACCGTCGTTATGGTTCTAAATGTCATACAATTCAATGGCTTAAAACGTCATCAGTTTTGGCTCTAAATAGAAGTCAGTGGCAATCATATTGCAGTTTTTTTAACTCGATTATCCGTAAAGATGTAGTTTTTGATTGCATCAACTTAATCTTCGTGTATATGTGTAAACTATTTCCTGCGGTGATCTCACTATATTAATAGCATATTGTTTTCTCTCATACATAATGATGTTTCTATGGTGATGGCCTAAACTTGACGTATATGTACTGATTTATTTTGAAATCTCTCTCGAACATCTGTAAAGTAATGGGAAATGAAATCACTGTTCTGATACATGAACAACGTTGTCTTGAATATTAGACAAGTCTATAATAGTTTTAAAGCATCCAGGTTTATATGCCGTAGATCATGTGACAGCCTAAACTATGTGATAATACGAAGTTGTAGTACCAACTATTCTTTGTCAGTGTTTCATGTATTTATCGAATCTCTGTATTCCTGCTAGTGATTTGTCTTTCATAATTGTTCTTGATTAGTTAGAGTAATTGCAGAACATAAGCATATTACTTATTTCATTTGTTTCAGTAGCTTGATTAACACCAAGATATACTGCTGAATTAATAAACTGGTTAAAACATCACCTGTTAGTAATAACTTATTAATATGACGGAGTATTCATGGAAATTACTATATAAAAGTGTTTATGTGATTGCCGATTGCTTTCAATTTATGTAGGCTGCAATGATGAATGGTAAAGTAATACATTTTAGTGATTAGAGATACTTTATTTTCAAATGCCATACGTTTATCCCTTGACAATTAAGTCTATTTCTGAATATCCATTTTTTTGCTTATTTATTTATCTAATTCTTCGTTTGCCAATTAAAGTAACAAAAAGCAAAATAATGATGCCATATTTCACGAACGTTTATTTCTCTTTAGTTTATCTGGTATGTGGTTAGCAGTAGAATCTGGGACGTACGTTTTGTCCTATGTAGAACTCATCAGTTTTACATACATACATCCCACTTTAGGCTCCCACACTGAAACTCGAATCAAGCACCTTTTGGTTCAAATACCAGCTCGTTACCTACTGGCCTACCGGGTCCGAATAATACGCTTTTGTTCAAGAGGTGTGGAAGTAATAGTAAATGTTTGTTATTTCAACAGGACATCACAAGCCTGTACTAATTGACACCCTTGATATAGAGTTACATTCAGAGGTGGTTTGAGTTTGTAATCAAAAGCGACTGATCACTGAGTACCAACCAATGTCATATTCGTCTAGTCCTATTATTGCTGACAGAGTTCTGTTGAATAAGTTGCTATGAGGTCACTAGTTAAAACCGACTTGGCATTGCATTCACTTTACTAAAGTGTTAATGGTTAGAAGTAGTCTACAGGAAACCCTGAGCCTATCTTTCAAGTCATTCGGGACTCGTCAGTAAGGTGTGTCAGTTTCAGTTCAAGATTGTAGATACACCTTGTTGACAATTATCAAGTAGCAATAAATATATGTTCGAGGTTTTCTGTTGACTACTTTCTAATATTGTTTAGTCACATCTGATTATCAGATAGAGGTTGTTGTGCAATATCTTTCAATTAAAAATTATATGAAATTTACATCTAAGAACTATGTATCATGCATTAGAACGCTTCGGTACTCAAGGTTATTTGAGGTCGTTTCTGTAAAATCTTTTGAACTAAACAACATGAAATACCAAAAACCAAAACAACATTTCCAAATACCCTAAAGTTACATATTCATATCGTCTAAAAAACGTTGTGTATGAATATTTGTAGAAATCTGCTTAATAATATTGACTTTGAAAGTTATTTGATACAATCCATGTGAAATTGATTTCATTTTAAAAATGAATACTAGTAACAAAATACTTTGAGTTGAGAATCAGATATTGATTGTTTAAAGGTTTGTTTTTGTTTCTCACTTGACCTTGTTAATCTCATTAAAGTTGATTTTATCTCTGTAACTATAATGGTAGATCGAATTAGATTTCGTTAGCCTAATGAATGATCATCCCAGCAGTATGAGGGTTGGAATTTCGGCTCAAAGCTTAGGGAAATCGTTTGATAACAAATGACCATTTGTAAAACAGCTTGTGAATGTATTTATTTTACATAATATCCTGTTTGACTAAGGAGTATAATAAGTCATCAGACCAGTCGTTCTATTCATGTAAGACTTCTGTATCACGTATGTTTCGGTCAAATAATAATTCGTAATTTCGTTAGTATATTTAATAATTTTGATCAAAGCTGAGTTATAAAAGTTCGTCATCTGTAAAATCTAGAGAGCATGGAATATTGTTTTATTATTTTTGAGGGGTTTCTCAGAAGTAACTAACTAGATTAAGGTTAAGTATGGAGTATTTAGGTTTTTTGTTACCATAATACCCCTCAATTACTTAGCCAGAGTTAACTAGTCTGTTATTTCAATTCTTATAATTACCAATATAAAATAACCATAATTAAGTGTCATTAGTAAAGATCTGCTCTCTCTATGCCCTACTTCATTAATCTACAGTTCATGGGTACTTATTGAAATTTCTAATTATCTCTCACAAATAATAGTGTTCGCTCAATTTTGTTCAATTTAAAGACATTTTTCGTTAGGTAAGTGTTAAATTATATTGAAAATTAACTTTCAATTAAATAAAGCTTCACTAACTAATGAATTAATTATTAAAAAGTAGTACCTTATATTGGATTTATAAATATATGCAATACAATGCATTAGCTGAAATTTGAACTGCAAACTGTTCAGTGATAACTCAATAATTTGAAGCTTTACCTTTCACCAAGGGATCTAAAGGTCTGAAGTTCTATCATTGGTAGGATCATTGATACTCATTAAGTAGGAATCTTAAATTAGAATGAATCAGTTCCTCAGTGGTATCTAGTTTTTAACAGTTATTTAATCAAAGTCATTCCGTGACAAACTAGGGAAACTATTTTAATTATCTACCGATATATAAAATGGTTGCTTGTTTTCAAAAAAGTCGATAATGAATACTACAAATTACATACACTTTCCAGCAATTAATTCCTGTTATTGGTGGTTTTAATATTTTTCTAAAAAAAAATATGCGAAAACATTATTTTGTTTGGGACTATGCTAAATAAGTACTTCACATAATTTTTTTTTCAAAACCAAACATGTGTTCTGGATTCACAATTGATTGATCACTGGGTGGTGATCAATCTCATGCTTGTCTAGTCCTTATTAGTGCAGATCGAATGCTATCGATCATGTTGCAATGTGGCCACCAGTCTAGGTGACTCGACACTGCGGGCACTATGTAATGAGATTAGATGGTGGTTGGAGGTAGTCAACAGGAAACCCTGGACCCGGGTTTCGTGCTACTTGGCACTCGTCAGCAAGGTGTACCTGTAATCTTGAGGGAACTTGTTCTCCCAGGCGGATTCTATCTCGTGTCACCCAACGTCTCTGACTGTGAAGCTGGGTCCAGGGTTTCCTGTTGACTACCTCCAACCACCATCTAATCTAATTACATAGTGCCCGCAGTGTCGAGTCACCTAGACTGGTGGCCACATTGCAACATGATCGATAGCATTCGATCTGCACTAATAAGGACTAGACAAGCATGAGATTGATCACCACCCAGTGATCAATCAATTGTGATTACATCTCAGTCCTACAGGAGGTTAGTCACGGCTCGGATAGCTCAGTGGTAACGTCTTTGACTGTGAAGCTGGGTGACACGAGATCGAATCCGCCAGGGAGCACCAGTTCCCTCAAGATTACAGGTACACCTTGCTGACGAGTGCCAAGTAGCACGAAACCCGGGTCCAGGGTTTCCTGTTGACTACCTCCAACCACCATCTAATGTGTTCTGGATTCCATTGCTAGCCATTATCCAACTTCACTTACAAATCTTTTAAGGTTCTTAAATAATTCAAAATTATCATTGACTAGTCTTATTTCATTACTAACAATTAAGATCACAAGCAAAT